GCGGCTTTGATAGTTTTTTTCTCGAAAGTGCGTGGCTATAGTTTTTTTCTCGAAAGTCCGCGGCTATGATAGTTTCCCGTTCCATTCCCGAAGGAAAAAAAAAATTTAAAAATGGGTCCCATCGCTGCCTTGTTGCTGGGGATGGTATTCTTGATCCATCTCAGGTCCAGGTTGGCCTTGACAGACAAAAGTCGGTGGGTGGTTGGCGGGTGCTCTGGTGTGGTTTGCTCGCTTCTTTCCTATCAAACACCTATCATCCTACTCTCTCTCCCTCTCTCTTTCTCTCTCTTTCTCTCTCTCTCTATCTCTCTCTCTTTCTTTCTCTCTCTCTCTCTCCTTTTTTGTGCTTGTTACTCTCTTGTAGCACATCTAATCGTCAGCACTTATATGACCTTCTTGGGTTGCAAGCGCCATAAAATTATTTCTAAAATTTAAAAAAAAACTAAAGACAGAGTTGAAGAACCGGCCTCCTATATTATAAAAATATATCGATGGAGCCCAAAACGTTAAGAGTACTATCTTCCTTTAAATTTCAGTATTAACTTTATTAAGTGTTTTGCGGTTCTTACAACACAAAAAGCCCATATCAGTTCCGGGGATTAGAGGTGTTACAAGAAGGTAAAACACAAAAAGGGGGTTGGGGAGGGAGATATGGTCGATAGGTGTTTGATTGGAAATAAGAAGCAAACCACACCAGAGCACCCACCAACCTCCCACTATCTTCCTTTGGGCAATTCACCTCTCGGAACAAACAAAGTAACCAAGGGACGAGACAGTCTCAACTGTGTGCGTCATAGAGAGCACACTGGAACAACGACCAAAGAAAGTAGTTTTAATGTTGATTTTAGTGAGAGTCTTACAGCACTTGCAACACAATAAGGTCAAATACGTGTAAGTGCCGAAGATTAGAAGCGTTACAAGAGAGTAACAAACACCAAAAAAAGAAGGAGAGATCAGGACGATACATGTTTGACAGGAAAGAAGGAGCATGAACAACACCAGATCACCCACCAACCACGCGCAAAGAAAGCAGAGATCTGTATGATAATGCCTATTCCAACGAGTTCTCGTATTGCTGTTATAGATTGTATAAAGTAGATTTTTTTTTATTTTCCAAATACCCAAGCAGATCCTCTGAGGACACTCAAGAAACATTCTCAGCTTCACAGAAAGCTTACACTTACAGAGTGCATGCTGCAGATTTCACGTGCTCAACTCAAACTGACATTGTGACAAGATCTTCCACCGTCTATAGCCGAGTACCCATTTCCACTTGGATGAAGTGAGGAAAATTTGTGTAAAGTGCCTCTTCCAAGGTGGGATTCGAACCCATGATTTTACGGTTGCCAGTCTGAGAGCCTAACGTCTAGGCCACTGATGCCACAGTGATATACATGTCTTTAGCTTTGATTTTGTTTCTCCCAGTAAACACTTTCCAGGCGTGCTTCCGTCATTGTGCCCAGTACATGTACTTCCCAAGGGGTACTGCTCCGATGCTTGTCCTTTGTTGCTTGTGGTATCTATTTATAATTCAAACCCGACCCATCACACTTGATTTCTCTTCTTTACATTTGAAGACAAGATCTCAAGGGTGTATGACTGCAGCAAATTATGGTAATAAAAATAACAGTAACAATCTGTATTCGTCATTTTATGCAAGAAAAATTATGAACTTATGCAAACTGAGCCCAAAAATGTGAAATTATGCAATGATAAGGAAAATAATCCGAAATTATGCAAAAAAGTATCAAATTTTGCTAAATTAAGCGGGGTGCACAAAACCACGGGGACAGAATAATGATATTAATAATTTAATAATACAGTAGTCCCCGCCTAAGATCCCACCGCTTATGGTCCCGGTTCGCCTAAGATCCCGCTGTTTTGGAAAAATATAAATCTTACTATTAAAACTCACTGCTAAGATCCCGCACTGAAGGAGCTACATTCGGCTTAGATCCCGCTTTTCCAGGTCATAATTTAGTTATTGTTTCTTTATTTAGGGGGCGCGCTTAGTTGATCAACCAAGTAGCGAAAATGTGCGATCAATACGGTCCGTCGCGTCACGGATCATCCACTCTTGAGAACGCGATCACACCTTTGTTGTAAATCTCGATAAGCGGTAATAAGGTGTGAACTCGTCGATGCCTTGCCCTCCGCGATCACCTGAGCCGTCCGCCTGATCTTACATCACACACTAGGTGGGGAGGGCCTACAAGCAAGCATCAGCAGACTACACTACATTCTATCAAACTGTGAATTCGTGGACGCTGATGTTTTCCCGACCATCGCTCTCGTCTTTCAGTTCCGCTCGAACTTCCAAGACAGACTGACGCCCATACTTGTGGACTGTCCGATCGCCTCTGTGTAATAATAATGGAGTCATCTGTTGGCAGTGAACCTGCCTTTCACTTTCATTTTTAAAACATTTGGTCGGTGCGGTCACAATACTAATACTACGATTTATGATACATCATGACAAGGGCGGGGAACTCCGTTAGAGATGGAAAGCAATACATTTTTGGAGGGGGGCATTGCTCGAAGCCAACTGGTTCTCACCTCACATTTTTTTAAAAAGCCCCCCACCCCCACACAAAAAAAAGAGGAAAAACTGACTTCTGAAAAGAACTTTTAGTGCCCAGGAGTCACGTCAGTTCACTTTAAAGTAAGAGAAGATCATTGTACAGATTATGGACCTGACCATGAGTTACCGTGGATTCTTCCCTCTGGCCATTCAGCTTAGATCCCGGTTCGCTTAAGATCCTGCATTTTCCTTGCTCCCGAGCACCAGGATCTTAGGCGGAGACTACTGTAATTGTAATAACAACAATAACAATAAACAAATCAGCACTTGTCTGTTTATGTGTGCGTGTGTGTTTGTATGAGTATGTATGCGCTCGCACATATGTGCAAGGAGAGGTACTCTTTATCGAGTACGGTATCTCAGTCTACCTGCTGATACCTACCCCGTGGTTTTATGCACACCGCACAATTTAACAAAATTTAATCATTTTATGCATAATTTCTGAATATTTTTCTTTATTATTCTTTGTTAAAATGAACAGAATCGCATAATTTCATATTTTTGGGCTCAGTTTGCATGATTTCAAAATTTTTCTTGCATAAAACGACGGGACAGTGATACACTACTGAATCCCTCTCAGTCTAGGTTCACCCTAACAAGCAGGGTTGAAGCAGCCTGCCTCCTGAATGATCTAAATTGGGTCAATGAGGGCCTAAAACATATATATTCTACAATAACAATTTACACATACATGACTTTTCCATGCCTATCGATAGCATCTTCATTTCACCCCGTAGGAGGCAAAAGCTGCTATTTTGGCACAATTCGAGCAAATTCGCAAGTGACCTTCAAATCAAATGAATTTGTTTTTCAAGGTTGCGAACCGAAAAAATGTTATAGTGCCAAAATGGTAGCTTTTCCCTCTGTGAAGAAAAATCTGGCTGACTCTATCTGAATCAAATGAATTCGATTTGCAGTGTGCACTCGGTATAATTATAATACTGAGTGTACACCGCCAGTCCAGTTAATTCATTTCATTAACAAAAGAAATATGTGTATATATAAAACAGGCCCTATAACTCGGGATAGGTCGAACACAGAAGACTCGAAATCATGCATCCGTTGAACAGTGCCTGTGGTCCCGTTTTGTTGTTTTTTTTCTTCCTTCTTTATCTTCTTTGTGAAATTGTCAGATATCCCTTGAACTACCGAGGCCGGTCCCTACGAATTCTAACTATCCGTGTTATCTATACATATATTTGTGAAAGTTCGTCACTTTTGCTCCCTAAAACTTTCGAATTTGATAAAATTAATGGTGGTTCAGATTCATTTAAAGGGTGCAGTTCTATTGAGGAGCCTGAAGTCACTGTAGTTTAATTTTCAGTTTTTCATTAGTTTCGTTTAGATCTAATCTTGGGAAAATCCGTCTTCTAAGACGCCATTGTAAACAAGTGAGGTTTCCGTTCACTAGCCTTGCGCTGCTTCCACGCGTCTGAAATTCTGGAATGTACAACCACGAAAGCGGAATTGAGAATCAATCTATCCATCTCTATACATGTAACATGTACAGAGATGGATAGATTGATCTAAGCCTTCTATTACTTCTAATTTTTTGCATCTCTCAAGATTTATCGCTCCATTCCAGTTGAGTGTAAATATAGTAGACCAATGACTTTCAGTTGATGTTGATGCACCTATCATTCCTTTCATCAAATGGGGGTCCAGTTAGTATTGTATACTCTTTCGTGCCAATCAACAGTATCTTCATCTCACTCTGGAGGAGGCAAAAGCTGTTATTTTGGCACAATTCTACCGAATTCAATTGTGACCCCCAGATTAAATTTGTTTTTCAAGGTCGCAAGCCATAAAAATGGTATTGTGCAAAAGCGGTAGCTTTTGCCCTCCGTGAAGGTAAAACTGGGTGTGACCCCATCTGAATCAAACGAATTCGATAGGCAGTGTGCACTTATACTGAGTTAGGACTGCCAGTCAAATTCATTCATTTCATTGACAACAGAATATGCATATATATATATACATGTATAATATATTTTACCACCATAAAGGTCACTGTCACCAAAGTTGTCTTCAACATCAGCATGCTACAGATGCTCTACTCTAACTCTTCCATGTTTTTTAAATTTTCTTTCCACAGCAAAGAGAAACAAGAAACAACGAGGCATTGGAGGCAGAACCAGACTTGTTATAAAAAGTCAACTGAACTCAACAGTAACTTTCAAAATCAAACAAGGCCACAAGTTGAATCACTGGTTTTGTGCCAAAATGGTAATCTTTTGCCCCTCCATGAGGAAAATCTCTCAATTCATCAGCGGAGATCTAATCAATCAGCATTTGGAGAGTGAACTAAGCCCATGCCTTAAGAACCAACAAACCTAATGTATAAATTGTAATTCTGAATATTAAGAAATAATAATTGAAGGCTATGTCAACAATAGTAATTTGTTCAAAACAACTCTAGTAAATATCATACTTGAATTTTATTCCGCATTCAAAGTACACCTTTAAAAATGACAAGCTAAAATCATTCCTTTCAAAATAAAATTATATTCATAATGTAACACTATGAACATTTGATATTCACGCACACACAAACAACATACATTTCTAATGTACATCTTGGGAAAAAGAAAACAACATCATATTCATAAAAATAATTCCTGGAAGTGCAGATCTACATCATGTACATGTATCACTTTTGGTTTTCAGGACACATGTAACTGTGCACATTGACACACACACAGGCAGATAGACACATACACAATACAATCACTCACAACTGAACATTCAACAGATGATAGGATAACCTGCTAAAAAAAAGAGAGCACAGCAAAAGTACTAAACAATTCTGGAATAAAATATGTGCGGGGTGCTTCTGCTGATTTTAGCTCAATGTAAAAAAAAATGTTCAAAGTATTGTAAGAGAATTAGTACGCTGACAAGTCACATCAGGAAAAAGAAAGACATGTTAGATGTGCATAGCAAAGAAATACTCTACGAACAAATGAATTGATATCCAAAGTACAAACACAAAGAAATAAAAAAGAAGAGAAAAAATACAAAGAAACATAAAAGAAGACAACAAAAGCAAAGAAATAATAAAGGAGACACCTTTTGACTCCTAATCTCCAACTGCTCAACCAATGTCTCTCCTTCCACTTTCACTCTCTAAAAAGACACAAACTTCCACTACACTGCCTCAATCTCTCTTCTATCTCACACCACTATCACCCCCCCCCCCTTTCCCAAACCACTAATATAAATGTATCCCTCTACTTTTTCCTAAAAACAAAAAAAACAAAAACAACACCTATACAAAATGGGAACAATTTATTTATTTGTTCACCAGTCAGCTGATATGCATTCAGACCTATTTTCTTCTTTCAACTAGTTGGACCTTTTTCAAAATTCAAAATTCTGGTACTGGCATGCACCCCACATCAGTAAGCAAACTTGTAAACATCACTGTACATACACAAATAGCCTACACATTACAAATAAGAGACAAGAAGTGGTTAGCTCCCCTGTTGTGCCAGAGCCGCTAACGAGTCATTGGAAGCCATTTGGTGCTCTTGGAACCTTTGGGAAATTCTGTTGGTCATTTTCATGAACTTCTCTAGACAGTTTATAGAACAGGTGTCCTGTGGAAATGAAAATGTAAAAAAATGCAGTTCAAGCAGAGTACATATGCCTTAGATCTCCAAACACTATACTTTTACTCCTTCTTCTTTACATTTGTTGATAATAATGGCTGTCTATTTGTTCCTTCCAGTGCGTCTAGTGACTTCCTGATGCTCAAATTCTTTTCCACCCAATAGAAGTGAGAAAAAAGTCTGACTGCTATTACTAACATCGGTTCTTACACTTTTCTCATTCTAAACCAAAACAAGGCAACATCTTAAGGTCAGTGATCAATTTTTATCAAAGCCAAGCTTACCATTGAGGAAATATGGCTGAAAAAGTGGCATATGAATCAACCAGTTTTAATAAGACTAAATCTTAAACACAACAATTTATACTTCCAAAGGGTTAAAAAGGGAGTAGTTTAATAGTACAGAAAAAAATTGCTTCTTCTCAAATACCACTTTCATCAGCATTTCAAGCCTGGTCTAGTCTTGTATGCTTTACTTCTACTATTTCTTTTCAGGTGTCACTACATGTACAAATATGAGACCACCGAGAAAGACAGGCCAGGCGAGAGATGAAGATCCTGCTGTGTTAAACTACCTGACCTCAGTATCTCCAAAACCCTCTCTCCATCTCTTTTCATGGAGGAAAAAAACAACCAAGTCCCTTAAACATCAAGACCTTGTTGTTGTAGCAAAATGATAGCATCATGCCAAAGGATCATTGTCATTGAAATGTCCCAGGTTCAAATCTCATACATATATCCAGAAAGGAACAGCATGAGAACAGCCATGGAGTCACAACCTGATCAACCTCCTAATAGAGACGGGTGGGAAGCGCTTTTTCCTTCCCGAACGAGAAGACCGAGAAGCTGACCTACTTCTCGCCGGGACCAGTCCCGGTACCGAGAATTCCCGTCTCGTGTCCCGAGTAATACTTCTCGTCTCGTGACCAATTTCTCTTCTCGCCCCGCAGTTCGAGCAACTCGCTCAGTGAGAAGGCCGCCGAGATTTCTCTTCTCGTCCCACAGTACGAGCAACTCATTTAGCGAGAAGGCCGGTATCTAAACTAGGCTAGCCCTGTTGCGCTGGCGCAGGCGGTGAAGGAAGGTAGGGAGATCTAGGCCTAGGCCCTGATCAACTCCCCACTCGCCTCGTCTTGCCACCCTCTCCCGTCCCTTTCAGTTTCACACACACTGTGACACAGGACGGCACGGTGATGGGTGGCACTGTCTGCATTGTCATTTCTCGCCTCTCACTCTCTCACTCTCGTAACTGGTTATGTCAAGCCAACGAGCAGTATCACTTCTCGGTACCGGGCAGTAGTATAGTGCCCGGGCAGCAACGGGAAGGGCATTTCTCGTGAGAAACGAGTACTTGGCTCGTCTCGTGCCCGCCCCACCTCCTAACCCTTTACACTACATACCAAATAACACTACCAACTTTCACTCACAAAGAATAACATGGGCACAAATGATTAAATGCAAATGAATTTAAGACAACCTCAAACAGTTTTTCTCAGTAATATGAGTAGCTGTAATAAGAGTAAAAATGATCTGAAAATAAAAAAAGTTAAAAGACTTACATCTATCTATAACTAAACCACTGTGGAGGAACAAGCAACCTGTTGCACTTGGGTACTTTTTACAATGAGGTGTGAATTCATATGAAACTGATTTGAACAGGGGATATTGCTGTCACAGTTCCAATTCCAAAAATTACGTTTTTAAAAATTCAATCACTCAAACAAACCACAGATCTGGATAATCCATAAGAAACAGGGAATGTCTCTCTTTTATTACATTGCAACAACAGGGGAGTCCGTTTAAACCAAAATCTGCATGACAGCCGAGTTTTCTTCTGTTGAGCCATGCTTTCAATTTAAAGAGATTGCTCAAATAGCGAAGACAAAAATCAGGGGTTTTATTTTCTTTTGGTTCATTGCTGTTTCCAGATTAACCGTGTTCTGTTTAAGCAAACTCCACTGTAACACTTAAAATTGAAACCCATATTTCTCATACAGACAAGAAATTAATGTTCAGATCTCATACTGACCTCTGCTGAAATGACACGCCTGGTGGTGAAATCGTGAACACAGGCCATGAAACATTGTTCTGTGATCTTGTTGTACTGGCTTAGAAACTCGCGAAACTGAAAAATGAAGGACAAAAAGGTTTTCACTTTTGACTGTTTTTTTCACTCACTTCAAAATCAAAATGAAAATGATAAATTGCAAACACACAGTGCATGGACAGAGATCATACATCTATGGAACTTCTTTAGAGCTTGAAATATGGTGTTAACAAAGACCACACCTGCTCTCACTGACAAAGTTTACTGTCCGTTTGAGACGTAGTTTTAGCACCAGAGTTTGTCTTTTCACTCTTAAAATTTTTGTCAGATTTGGAAGCCCACAGCATTATTTGAGGAGCAAATGCTCTACAAGAAATGTAATCTTCCCATAACAAGCATATAGGTAAGATGTAAGATATCCATCTCTCTCAGACACCCACTTTTCTCCTCGACTATGGGCGGCTGTCTTGGGCAATTTGAACTGTAGGAAAATAAATTGCTCATACATACAAAAATACTGTCTCTCTATGTTTCTCTCTCTCCTCAGAATGCCTTTGTTAAGCTTTGCACAGATTAGCTCAATTAGCTCAAGGAATGGAGAACTTAACTTGGCTCACCATTCTTGTACAGAAATAGCTAGCCATCAATACAAACATAAGAAATTTAAACATTCTCTGATACTCATATTTCTCAACATTATCTTTTCTCCGGAACTGAACAGAAAGTTAATTCTACAGGCTCTTAACTCTTTAAACAAAGAGTTTTTTCCACCGTTTCCCGGAGTTTTTTTCTACAGTCACATAAACCTGGCGCACTAGGTCTCATTGTAACCCCAAAAGCTTGCCTCCAACTTCTGAATGGCGAAAAACACAGGCTTAGTCATTACCTTACTAAAAATCTTGGTTCGAGAATAGTTCCAAAAAACAAACAAAAGCTAACACTATATGAAACGAAAAAGTTGTCACTAGTATCAGACGCTCAGCGTCCGATAGGGTTTAAAGAATTTTATAAAAATCTTCTTATAATATTTATTGGATTGCAACTGACTTTAGCTAAATACTAGCAATGCGAGTTTCTCTTTTCATTCCCCTACTATCCCCTCTATACCAAGCTCAAAATTCAGAATTTTTTTTTTATTGCAACAATTACTTAATCTGTGGCATCAAGTCCAAAAAGAGAAAGATTTTTTATAATAAACAAAATCATAATGCAAGCACAATTGTTGAAAGAATGAAACAGTTTCATTTCTCCTTTAAAATTCTGCTTTCTGGGCTTAGTACTTTTGAACAGCTCTGACGATATGTCCCATCTATTATTTTTACAATGATTAGAGTAAGTTCCGTGTGTACAGGGTAAACATGGTACATCTGAATGACTGGCCGACGATATGACTGCCTTTAGAGAAGAGTAAAAATTTAGCCCTATTCCCACTGATATGAACAAGACGGGGGCTGCGTCAGTAAAATTCATTGAAAATACACACCTGAGCTCCTGAAGACATAGCATCGACCTGCATCTGAGGAGGAACTTGACCCGCCATTGTCAGATCTGGATGTGCTAACAGCTCAACACTGAAACTGCAGTCAAAACTCTCTGTAGTAGGAAAAGATAATACAAAGGCAATTTAAGGGGAAGTGCAAATCAGAAAAACACATTCATTTCACCTTCTTTCGAAATAACATAAATGGTCCACGAATTTTAACTACGTATGTATTTTATTGTGTACTAATCTTTGAAAAAAAATTACAATTTGAATAGACAAAAATGTCAACAAAAAAACAGAGCCTGTTTGCAACTACCCCCAACACATGATAGATTAATTGTGAGGCTAACAGTCAATTATGGAGTGACAACTCACTTCAGTCTCCTTGAGTTCAGAACAAACAGCGAGTCTTTGAAAAAACTGACTCAACTACACATACTGGTGTAAAAACTATGCTGAAATATAAAACCTATTTTAAGCATTCATTTTAAAAAAATTTTTTTTAATTTTTTTAGGAGCAAAATTAGCCAAACCCTTTTCAAGGTCACAAATGGGAGCATTTCATAAAAATCGTGGCCAATAGCCAACCAGCATGATACCACGATACATTAGCCTATGTACTGATGACATTCAGGGTCAGATTATGTCAGATATTTGCAGGACAACAAAAAACCTCGGGACAAATTTGACAAAACAAAGCAATGGCCCTGGCATGATAAATAATGATGGTGTGTGCAATGGTGCAGAGTCATTTCTTGCTAACCCAGTCCACTGTTTATGAGCTTCTTGTCTAGTCTATGCGGAGATGTCATTATACATACATGCGACTAAACGTAGAACTTTTTAGGTAAGGCGACCATCTTGTTTGACGTCAGACCAGGATACCCCTCCGATCATATGACTACATCTAAATATAGCCAACCGTATGGCATCAAAGATGGAAGTGTCTATATATAATAAATCAAGCTTAATCTTCCTTTTGCTGTTGTAAGTTCTGATGGCCGAATGGACAGTGTGCCTGCGTTTGAAGTCATACAATTATTTTATGGGCGTGGGAACAAATCCCGGTCTCGGAAGGGGTTTTTTTCTCTCTTCTCCTCCTCCCAACTGACAAACAGTTTTTCCCATAAATTATAATTTGTTGCTTTGTAGTTTTTTATGTAGTGATAAAGCATGCAGGAAGAGGGGGGTAATCCTCCGGCGTCTTTACGGCAGTTTTCGCGTGCTTTATTGTCTTGTGTTTTCCGTGTTCCAATTTCAAACATCTGTGTTCTTACTGTTCTGAGCATCAACGATCTGAGCAATCTTCCACCATGTCCAAGTACCGGAATTCCAAAATGTTATTAACATACCGGAAACCTTGTAACTTGTATAACCAATCAGAGCATGGCTGACGGGCTGCCGTTACTCACAAGCGTGAAATTTCAACTTTGGAAACACATCGATACGGATGATACGTCAAGCCACTGACCCAACATGTCATTCCACACGGTATCTCCAAAGATCGTGTAGAAGAGAATCTTTAAATCAAATTAAACTGGTAACTCTAAGGCCTTCTAAAAATAGTCTCTGGGTATCCCAGGATGTGATGACATCACATTACAGTGAACTCGGAATCAACGAAGTCGCCGGGCTTGATCTAAAATCTCGTTGAATCCGAGTCTTCGTTACGGCAAACACGAGGTTTTGTGTAGATATACAGGCACTGAGCTAGTAAGAGAAGTCACAAATGCCTGAAATGCCTGCAGCTGTGTAAAAAAAAAAGACAGATTCGTTCAAATGCACACGCCTGTGTCATCTCGATTGTTTACCAAAAAGTTGTGTTGCAGTGTAGAGCCCAGCATACGGCAACTTTTGATGCCATTCGGGGAGGCACTATCGGTCCGGGCGTTGAACGTCGCATACGCGTCAGTCCCCCCCTCCCGGCAACTGATCATTACAATGATAAGCTAGTCTTGACGTAGATCTACGTAATGAATTGTGCGCTGGTCTATGGAATCAAAAGTTGCCGTATGCTTGGCTCTACACAGCAACACAACTTTTTCTTGGTAAAACAATCGAGATGACACAGGCTTGTGTATTTGAACGAATCGGTCTTTTTTTTTACACAGCTCATAATCATGCAGGTGCCAGGTGATCTGCTAATCTTCAATTTTACCTTTTTCTACAACAAAGAAAGTGGGAAACATGGGGGGTGGGGGGGGGCGTATCAATGAAGCGGCGGGCATCAGATCGGCAGATTAAGTGTGAGGGGAACTAAAAAATGGCGGAAAATTGGAAGCACTGAACGTTAGATCTATAGAACGAAGACACTTCCTTTTTTCCAGACCGTGTCCAAATAACATTTTTTCATATTCGGACTCGAGTCCGAATATAAAATTTTGTTATTCAGACTCGAGTCCATGAAAAAATGTTATTCGGACTCGAGTTTGAATAATAATGACGGCCTTTGGGGAATGGTCTGTTCCTGCATGTGAAGATTTTGTGATGAAAAATTGCACAAGGCCTTTCTAATACCTAAAAGTAAATGGCTATCAAAATCAGTACGGAAGGCCTAAAGACAGTATGTTACTACCTAGAGTAGGCTAGAGTCTAGCTACTAGATCTAGATATCTAGATCTAGATCTAGATGTATGATGAAATTGCCGTGGTTTACGTATTCTTAACTCCAGGATTTACTTTAATATCCAGTCGGGGATGCATTTAAAGTTTCGTCTAGATCAAGATATAGATCTAGAGAACAGGAAACTTAGGCCTAGCTATGCCTCATGTCCAAGCACCACCTTGCCTTTTACATTGGCCAAGCCAGGCTTGGTGGATCGACTCGCATTACAACAGTAACAGCCACACGCCACTCACTTCACTGTCACTGCACTGACACTGACACCGGCAACGTCGGCGATCAACGACTAGGCCTACTATGGACTCCGATAAATATGAAAACATTATTCAAGGGCGATATAATATATATATAGGCCTAGGTATATATAGAATAGATTTGAATGTGTAGTTACTGAGACTTAAAATTGTTTACCATACCTCTAAGGAAAAGAGATGGACAGTACAGAGGTCGAATGTTTACAATTCGCGATTCCACATGCGGCTCGTTTCCGGTTCGTCGCAGTAAAAAGCATTCGCCTTATAACCTTTGTACGTACATTGGGAAGATCGCTGTTTATGAGCTTTTCTAAATTTTAATTATAATGTAAGTTACACAGTCATGTCATAATTTAGTACGTGCATGGACTGGAAACTCCTATCCTCTCTACAAGAAGCAAAGGCACAACGCCTATAGTGATGTTTGTCTAATCTAATGTGTCTAACATGTAGATCTCGATAATCTGAACCTCATCTTTTTTCTCTCTTTTTTTTCAGACTGCATAGTTGTATTGCCAATTGCATAAGTGAGTAACCGTATCTTCAATATTGTGTAGCCGGGCGACAGAAGCAAAAGATCAGAATCAAATCGTTGGTGCAGAAAATGAATCAATTACTGTAGTAGAATTGTATTTTGGCTCTGTCCGTTGCGTGGCCTGCTGTGGCAATAACATACATGTAATACATGTATTCTTTTCGTTGACGTAGTAGTATAGTCAAAGATCGTGTATAGAGAATCTTTAGCACAGTGGTCGGTTGTTTATTCGGTTTGTTTGTTGTTGTTCGTTTTTTATTTCGGGGAGCGGAGGTATATTTTGATATTTTGCCTTGTTTCTTGATGTCGGGTCTTGGGGGGGGGGGGGGGGGGGGGGCTCTTTTCTTTTCTTTTCTTTATTTATTCATTATATATCTTACTTGACTTTTCCGATCCAGCGGCCATTTGGGTTCTAGCCCTTCGGCCTGTCGATATGGCAAAGAATTGACAGGTTTTAATGAGCTGTGCTTTGTCGCTGTGTATAGAGTGTTTCCGATGTCTGTGGAGGCAGATAGGTAGGTGCTACGCAGGTCACAAAGTGCTGGGCAGTTAAAGAGGTGGTGTGGTACTGTTTCATCCTGGCAGTCGCACAACGGGCAGTCGGGTGGGGTATCCTTGCGGATCCTATTAAGGTAGGAATTTAGTGGTATGTGTTGTGTTCGCAGGCGAAATATCGTGACTTGTTCTCTTCTACTCAGGGAATTTATTGCATCTTTAGAGTTGGGGGCTGTCATGTGTGCAAATACAATTCTTCCAGTTTTGCCCATTGCCCATCCATTCAGCCACTGTTCCCTGGTGTTGCATTTGATGATGCTCTTGGCTGTCTGTTGTGATACTGGGTTGTGTGGTTGTGTTTGTGATGCTCCCTTCTTGGCAAGGGTGTCTGCTCTGTTTATTATTATATATATAGACTTATATATATATATATATATATATATATATATATATATATATATGTAAAAAATTTTTTAATTTTTAATTTTTTATATTTTTTTTAGGGGGGCTGGTAATCGTTCAGCAGCACCGCTTTGTGGGGACAGCTCAGCTGACAGTTTGCAACCACCTTGTCTTGCACTTTGTGGCTTGCCTACATTCTTAGAAGTAGATCAGTAAAGAGAGAGAAAGAGAGAGAGAGAGAGAGAGAAAGAGAGAGAGAGAGAGAGGGGGGGGGAGGAGGGAGAGTAGCCAGGGAGAGAGTGAAAGGGAGTTTTGTAAAGCACATTGAGCACTTACTTAGTAAAAATGTGATACAGTATTACACGGATAGGTCGAACACAGAAGACTTGAAATCACTCATCCGTCAAACTGTGCCTGCCATTCCCGCTTTTTAAAAATTTCTTTATCTTTGTAAGATATCCTTTGAACTACAGATCCCTCGAACTACTGAGGTCGGTCCCCACAAATTCGGGCTATCTCAACTATCTGTGTTATACTGTGTATGAGCGTAATTCATTATCCTAATTACAAGTACATTATCATTATTGTTATTATTACTATCCACTCTGTTGTCTTCAATGACTTCAGCTCGCATGTCCGCCCCCCCCCCTCCTCTTTAAAAAAAAACTCACTATCTCCTCGTCCCTTGTTCACCTCTCAATCTTTGAAAACTATATCTCTACTACCCATGGCATAACCACTCCGTTTTTGGTCTTCCTAAACTGCATAAAAATACCATGTCTTCCCTCAGTACATGAGACCCACTGGTAGGTTTTCCTTACTTCCGCCAGTAGTTTTCCATCGATCCTGGTGGGCTTCCACTTCCTCTGCACAAGGCAGAGGGTATGCCCAGAATAACATTATTGGTTTCATTTTTACTTAGAGTTTTACGGCACTTGCAGCATGAAATGTCATGCAAGAGCCAAAGTTTAGAGGTGTTGCTAGAGAGTAAAATACAAGGAAAAGAAGAAGAGATAAGGACAATAGATGTTTAATAGCGAAGAAGGAGAAAACTACACAAAAGCGTGATATCATATCATCTGCAGGCCTATCCAAAACGACGGTTTTGAGTAAAGACAAGCACATCCACACAAAGAAAAGGCAAGACTGACAGAAATGACAAATAGGCGTAAAGATGAAAAATACTTACCAATGGCAATCTCCAACATACGTACTGCGGTGAGGCTATTTTTAGTTGTAAAATTATCTACATTATTATTATCATCATAATAAAGATCACTCCACTTGACTCTACATCAGTAACTTGTCGAAACAGACATGAAAAACAACACAGATAAATATTATACAAAGTTATCATATGTTTATTTGTCCAACATGGTAATGATGAAACCGAAGAAACAAGAACAAGCCAACTCGCTGAACCCCATGCCAATAAAGTCCATTTTCTACAACACCAGCTGTATCAAAACCATGACACGATCAGTTTGCCATTATCTTTAAAATTAATTCTGGATTCTTCTCTATTGGTATCACGTATGTAATAAAATGGAAATCAAAGTTTGTGTTCTAAAAGTAGGCCTACTGTAATTTGAAATGAAATTATGTTTAAAAACTAATTTCAATACTTTACAAGAACGGAGGCTACTTTTTGGGGGGTTGAAAAAATCCTATTCCTAAGGCACAAGCAGTTGCACGTGGGCCTTTGGTTCAGTGAATTAAAATAAAGCATAAGCCATCAGATACCGGTATCACTATTTCACGTAGAATATGATACTGCCCTCTTCACAAAACATGAAATTTTACATAAAACTGAAGTGTGGAGTCATTTTCTTGCACAACCAAGACAAAGGACTTGACCAGACAAAAAACTGTAAAATACTGTGAATGAAAATCACATCTTGAATCAATGTAATCAAAACAGCATTGACACATTAACTGATTCCGTCCATGATTTTTTCAGGCTCTGGACAGAATTATTTTTCCCTGTTCAGTTTTAGACCTGGGGTGCATCTATTTAATGCACTACTGTGAAGCTGTAAGTTACTCTAATATGTATTGTCATATACCAAACTGATGGGAATAAAAAGAAGAATCTGTTTCTATCAATAACAATGACCTATAAATTTGTTTGTATTGCATTTTCCTTCTGACAAAAACGAATGAGAAAAAAAAATGGCGCAACAGCTCTTCGAAAATTTCGACTTACTGCATTTTCTCAGCTCTACAAGTCCTTATAATCCATAGGAATCAACACAACATTGTAGCGATATCACCCTAGCACACATTTATGCAAGAATTTCACAAATTTAGTTGAATATCTTTCTTTGAAGAGCCTTTTTATTATACCAGGCTCCGTGTTGTTTACCCTTAGATCTAGCCTACGTTGCAACAACAAAACAACGATTTTTGCAAGAATTTCGCTGAGTTTCGATCGATATTGGCGCTCAGAGATTGAGGTCAGGTTTGTTTACAAGTTCTACTTCCTTTCGACAACTTAAAAAGTAGGAACTACGTTAAAAAGTGCACCTTTGTTTCGGATTTCGTTGAGCCGCTCACAGCGGTCAAATGGACGCAGTGGAAAAACTCAGAGCCGCTGTCAGTGGCCGAAGGGACGGAATCAGTTAACAGATTTAATCTGAACTTTTTGTCAAACTAAATTTAAAGTCACCCCTCATGACATATCATTAAAATGAAAGAACTTGCACGAAATCCCAAACAGAATACAAATTGTTTCAAATATAATGGTGTAAAATCTACAGTAGTACCATTATCTTTTAAAACAAGTTGCAGAAAACAGTCCAACCGACATTTTCCTCAGTAAAATTTGATCCACATTTCTCTAACATTATACACATTAATTTTTGACTGTACAAAACAATGTACATTGATATTATTTTAACCAAAAAATGCACATGGCTTGTGTAGATCTTAGAATTTGACAACTATAATGTAATATCGTCAAAATGTGATGTGTGACTCATTTTGTTGCATTATGACAAATCATTATCACCATCTTACACTTAAAGAATCACAGCAACATTTTACAAGGTATCATAGTCTGCACAAGTGATAGCTTCAAATCATAAAGACAGAAGACAAAACATAAGATAAAGGATGGAGCATAACTATATTAGTACAGAAAAACTAAGAACACAACATACAAGACTGAGACAACACATGAGCAGATGTTTTAAACTAGCACAATCACAAATTGCCAGTGTGGAGAGGCGGCTCAAACTGTGGAACATATCCTCCAGTACTGAAAGACCCACAGGGCCCTGAGACAGGAAACTTTGCCAACCCCTTTGACACTACGAGAGAAGCTGTATGGGCCGACAGATGAAGTGAGCAGGATGGCCTGGTACATGATAGGTACCAGACTTAAAGTGTGATGCAATCAAGAAGAAGAAGTACGGTACAGAAAAATGTGTTAAGAATGACAGGAAGAAAGAACATTTGCAGGGCTGGGAATTACAATCAAGGAAATGAATGAGTGCAAGTGTAACAGCTGTAAGTACTTGGCCATAACTCCACAAGTCACACATTTTGATTTTCCTAACACACAAACAAGTAAACCTCAAGTCTTAATCCAAAGACTGCAACTTTCTCTCCACACATCAATTTCTCCATGTTCCTGAGTGAGGAATGTTACAAATGTACAAGGCCATATCATAATGTACAAGGCCATATCATAATGTACAAGGCCATATCATAATGTACAAGGCCATATCATAATGTATAGACATAACCCTCCTGAAGTAAAACCACAAAAATAAACAATCATGTTAGCCTTAACACATTACACACGAGGCCTTACAGTTGGGGAAATTTGCTGAGCAGTTTTACTTTGTAACATTTTAACATCCATTAACACAAGTTGTATCACTAAATCCATTTGAATCCTAGCCCCCCTCAGCCCTCAGCTAAAGCTTAAACTTTGTCAACCAGTGAAAGAAAGTTGACTAGAAAGGCAAGAAGGCACCTGTTCACATTCACTTGGAGTAGGTATGACCGGTGAAAACATTCGACATTCCATCTCAGTATCAAAATCTGTAACCAAACATACAAATGTACATCCACCTGCTTCTCAATCACCCTTAGTGCTATACATGGATACCTTTCTTCACCCAAACTTCTGCTAACCGACATAAATACTTTGACTTTTCTTCGACAACAAAATTTCACTAATTGATCCTAGATTTCTATTACTTGAAGGACCCATCATGCACCTTGAGAGCTCTGCGCAGGTGGCTTTCAGTTGCCATATGGATGGCCAGCACCTGAGATGTGGCCAGGTGCACACTGCACAGTTCACAGGTCACCGGCTGGCGCTCACCGCTGGAATGAGATAAGATGAGATTACAATAAACTTTATATTTCTAGCTGAAGGAAATCTGATGAAAAAGACAAAAGACTAAAACACGGCAAATATTTTTTAAAAGGTTACAAAAAAGTTTTAGAATGAGTTTACTCCACTTGCAACACATTTAGGTTATAATAGGTTACATTATGTTATGCATAGGGGTCAAAGATTAGAAGTGTTACAAGAGAGTAACATACACATTTAAAAAAAAAGAAGAAACAGGGGCAATAGATGTTTGAAAGGAAAGATGTCATAAATGGAAGGGCATCTTTTTTCTCTTTTCTACACAATACAAAGATGTCATAAAAGGAGGATTATACTTTTTCACTTTTCTACACAATACAAAGATGTCATGAATGGAGGATCATACTTTTTTCTCTTTTCTACACAATACAAAGACATCCTAAATGGAAAGTCATACTTTTTTCACTTTTCTACACAAGACAGAGGTATTATAAATAGAGAGTCATACTTTTTCACTTTTCTCTCCAAGTCTTCCAGGTGCCACAACATGTCCTGCTGGCGTCTCATGGAATCTGGCGTGGGCTCAGGCTCCTCCAGGCACACAGCATTGTGCAGTCTCAGCAGGGTGTGAGACTCGTCCGCGTCTGGCACACTTGGATACAGAATGCTCTCTGGGTCCACCTATAGTAAGAAATTGGAAACATATTCAAAAGAGGAAAAGACCTCAGTTTTAGTTTTTGTAAAAGTTTTATGGCACTTTCATTACTTTCAACACTTACGGGTTACAAGAGACTAACAGAAACAAAAAGCAAAGGAGGGGGGGATAAGGATGATAGATGTTTTATAACAAAGACTGTTTACCAATCACTGAAGAAAAAATCCTGTCCATTGAGACAGGGTTACAAGTAATTTTAAAGACACATTTTCATCCGTAAGGCAATGGAACTATCTAGAAAATCAAATCAACAAAGAGAGTAAAAACACTGCTCATGAAGACAATTCTGGAAATACAAGTCGTAACAGTGGCTTAACAATGGAGGCAAATCTTTGTTCCGATCTTTTCTGAGCCACAAAACGAAGAAAAAGAAACACTTACAACACATTGGAGGAACTTACCTGGTTCCATTCATACATATTTCTGAAAGCCTGTGGTTCAACTGCTTCTCGCTGCTTCTTTAGCAACCTGAAAAAGAAAGATGTTCATGTTACCTGTGTTTATAAAGCAATCATTTTTCAACTACTACTCTTTATATTAACACATTACACCCTAACTCGCCCGGGATCGCCCGAGAATTCCCTTACGTGCTCTACCCTGGCTGGCCCGGAACCGCCCACGCCGACCTAGCGTCTTTAGAAACGAAGTCTCGCCTTGACGAGACTCGGGCCGAGATTTTGATTTGCATAGTTATTACAAAAAGTTTGTTCTTTCGTTTGATATGAAACGAAATTTTTAGGGCCAGTAGTTTTAGTATTAGAGCTCATCGAAGTGCAATCGCCATACCGACACTTTGAAAGTGTCTCGACTTGTTGAAAAGCGACACAATTGAGTTCGAAAATGGAAATAACGATGGATTTAAGCAAAAACAAGCATATGACAAATCAGATGGCCCAGATTTCGATGGAAACGTTGTAGCAAGAGTTTGAGGCGATTCAGATTGATCAGACGTAGAAAATCTAGAATTTAGATCTAGGGCCTGACCGCGAGGCTGAGAGTGAGAGTGACGGGTCAGACACCCCGATTGAACTAAAGTTAGAACATTTCCAACAGTTTGCGCATACATAAAGTTATATTTTTCTGAAACTACATTCAGTTTTCTTTTTTCAGGATTTTTGGAATTTGTTTAGTATTTTTAAAATGTGTTTTTTAAACACTTGTATTCACGGGAAGTGGGTTTCTTCCCCTTTCTCAGGATCTAACAATGGACTTCCCGTCCAGGCCCTCAGGGTGTAATGTGTTAAGTCACCCATCCCAAACAAAACATCTCTCCCTCAAACATCTGATCAATATGTTGTCCCTTGACATAGTCTTGCTGCCTGCAAACAAAAGGACATCCCGTTTACACATGGAGCCATGATCGTTGCACACCTGATGATTTTCTAAAATTTCTTCCCTGTTGTTCTGGTTCCCACAATCTGTGGCTACATGCCAGATTTCATGCAACATGCAGGCCAGATCTCTGGGGGGGTGACATCCTTGTCCAAGAAAAGAAGGTAGCCAACCCCACCAACACTAGAATCAAGGAGAAAAACAAACAAACAAACAAACCACAAAAAAACCCAAACAGAAAAAACAAAAACAAAAGAGACACACTAGCCATGCCCACACAAACTGTAGATATAACTAGGAACTTTGACAGAAGTGGCTAGCACCCTACCCTGGAGGGATATACTCTTTATTATCATAAAAGAAGCAACTTACTGCAAAAGTGTCTCTCGAGCCCTCTTCTGTATGCTGATGAATGTGTCCACACTCCACCCAGCCATTGTGTCGTTTGAGCCCACTGACGCATTCACAGCCATACGCACATGGTTGATCTGCCAAAACAAAGCATTAAAAATATAGCCTTGCATGCACATAGTGAAATTAGCTGGATGCGGAAATCTTTTTGTTATAAATGGATTTCTCTATGAATGTGTTTTAACCCTTCGGGACGCAGGTTTTGGACCGGATTTGCACCGGGAGACACGCGGTTTTGGGTCAACTTTGAAAGTCTGCCATTTTTTCCCCTTTTGATATTTTAAAAATCTGTTTTCACTATCTACACATTCAATATTTGGACGTTGCCTTAGATCTAACCCAATTTGCCTGGATATATTTCTAAACTTGTCAGGACCCCTACAAAAATGGTGTATGAGACAGTAAAAAAAAAAAATTTTTCGTCGAAGTTGACAGTGAAGAAATGCAGAAACAAACAAGATAAAAGTTACCACACAACTATAACGCAGCTAAAAACACATCCCAACACAAATTTACCGTCCAAATACTGTGAAGAAATAGTTTCAGTCATTGTGAATAAATGGGGTTGATCTGACCAGAACTCACCCTATGTTTTTTTCTATACAGCAGATAGTAATTTGACAGTCGTGTCGCGAAGTAACGGTCGAAGAAGTCGCATGAATAAGAATCATTATAATTTCACTGTTTTCGATACTTCTGTTCATTTTACTAGTTCTAGTGACTCAGAATATGATGTGTCTGATAGTTAGGATGCTGGATATGTACTCGAACACAGCCTGAGTCGTAGTTTTAGGGCTACATCTAGCACAAGTACAGGTGTTGTTGTTCGCGCAACGAAATCACAACTTCGTGCCTTACATCGGTCTCATGTAATTCATTGTATGGGTCTGAATCAACGGACAGCCCAGATTTTATATTTTCACCAAACACTCACACATGCATACAACAAATCAAAACAGAACACTTTGAACATTATTTTTGCTGTTGTTGAGAATTTCATTCCATCTGTCATGTCTCTGGAGATTTTTTGAAAAATCAAATTCATGCAAATTTTTTTTAAATCATCAAATTAAAGTATTAGACTTAGACAACTTAAATTTTTTGTATTAAATTAAGCAAAAAATAATTACAGAAGGGTAATTCTAAGAGATGTGGTGGTGTTTTGAAATACCCCCAAAAATGCCAGTATTCAGCGCTAGTGACTGGTGAAAGGGGCCAGTAGTCAGTGAGTTAAAGTCAACTTATATTTAACTTAACCTTCTAAATGCTTGTAACATGAGTATCCCTGATGACGTCAGCTTGTGACTTTGTGAGCGTAGCTGGCACATCACACTTTACCCACACATTTCTAGCCATTAAGGGAAAGGACAATCCATGGAAGAAACTCTGAGGCACACACAAAAAGACTTGGAAATGATGCGTCCACTGTTGCAAGGAAAAGGCTTCAAATCTCATGAATATGGCGACCATAAGCCGCGAGAACTTGTTCTCAGGCCTATCATCAATAACAACTGAGTTGACACTCTATGAATCTTTGCAAACCATTCGACAAAGTAAAAGAGAAATGAACAGAACAAGGTCATATAACACCCCCCAAAAATGCACATTGTTAATTTACCATCTCACTCATTTCTTTTTTTAAAACCCAAAAGAAGAACACTTGGTACTAATTTGTAACCTACCAGGACGATGTCCTCATTGTCAAAAGTCGTCTCAAACACCAGATCAATGTCGTGGTCCGGCAGGATGGACTGGTTCTCCTCATCATAGCCCAGGCCACACAGGGCCCCGATATATCGCTCACATTTTGGGTCAGTTCTGAGGAGCAATGAGCACAGGGGACAACTCGTTTAAGACATCCATCCAGGGAAAGCCAACCTCTCTGAAATGCTGTCTGGTATATGATTCAACATTCTTCAAACTTTTGAAACATGAAATATAATAACAGTTGAACCTGCCATAACAACTTTGGAAACCTTCACAACCTGAAAACAGACAGATAATTTTCTTCCTTCCGAAGAGTATTGACCTGTCGAGGGCAAAAAAGCTTTGCCCGCTTAACCTTACTTCGAAACAAAATTCTGAAGTTTTGATCCACCAGCTCTGACTTGAATGCCACATTACCAGGCAAGGGAGGGGGAAAGGGTGCAGTTTGGGAATAATTATTATTTTATCCATGTGAGCCCTGAGCAGTGCAGATGTTCAGTGTGGTGTGGGTATGAAATCTCACAGCTGCTTGTCTTCAAAATGCTCAACTAGCGTGCCAGTACAGAAACTGTCATGGGTAACTAGAGGTGTGAAAGTTGACCACTGCCTGCGTCTCCTTGATTGTATGGCCAGCTAAAAATAAAGTTCCCTGAACTGTTACGCACAGAGGAGGGATGGCATTGGTTGACTGTGCTTATGACATCAATGGGTAGGGTTACGGGTAGTAACAAAGGACATGTTAAATCAATTTTGTTTTTAATTGGTCCAACAGTGATCTAAAGAGACGCAGGCACTAGTAGCAATGGACTAGTAAATCTAATGCATATTATCATCAGAGTAGCTACGATTACTTGGGTGGGAGGTGTGAAGTTCTGACCGCTGCTTGCCAACCAGACAGGTGACCCTTGATCCCACTGTTCCCAGACAGGCCCCATGACTCCCCTCCCCTAAATTCCCCTCTCCAAGATGGAAAATCCTGGAGACGCACAGTAGAGTCTGAAATGAAGTCCTGGAATCATTCGTGGGGAACGCTGACCAAGATGGCCCAAAACAGACAGAGCTGGAGATCCTTTGTTGCTGCCCTAAACGCCAGATGGCGTAATGGGTAGTAAGTAAGTAAGTAAGTAAGATGGAAAATGAGTACTACAATTTTTTTCTGGCTTCTTTGCAATTCTGTCTCAGATAGGTTCGACCGTAGACAAAAAAAGATGGAGACTTCACTTTGACATCATAATGAAAACCTAGACGCAAGGATCAAACATTAGGCCAAAAGGCACAAAGGAGAAAGAGATAGGGACAAATCTTGCCCACTCACTCACCTGTACTCAACATACGGAGCAAACATCAGAGTGACCAAAGCAGGCAGTCCTGGGATTTGAGGCATGATTGTTGTGTCCCGAGCGATCATGCTGTTGCCTGCAGGGTTCAGGGCTATGCTGCCGGAAACCATAAGGCGAGAGAACTTGTTCTCAGGCTGGTCATCTATAGCGACTGAGTTGACGCTCTCTGGATCTATGCGAACAACTCTACAGAGTGATGGAGAAAAATAAATGGAACAAAGTCACACAACACTGAAAAATGCACATTGCTTTTTTTATCATCTCATTCAATTCTATAAAGAACACTCTGAAAAATGCATGTTGCTTTTTTTATCATCTCATTCAATTCTATAAAGAACACTCTGAAAAATGCACGTTGCTTTTTTTATCATCTCATTCAATTCTATAAAGAACACTCTGAAAAAGGCAGGGTTTTTTTTTTTATCATCTCATTCAACTCTATAAAGAACACTCTGAAAAATGCACGTTGCTTTTTTTATCATCTCATTCAATTCTATAAAGAACAAATTAATATTTTATCAGTTTAATTGGATAGTCAACCACACATAAAGTATCCTTCATATTTATTGTGAGAACAAAAAACAAAAAAAAGAAGAAGAATCAAAGTACTGACTGAACTAAAATGTCTATTTCTAGCATTTCTAAAAATTAGAAAACAAAACAATAAAACCCCAAAGAACAAACCCTCCCAACCCTCTTTGAAAAACCAAAAACCAAAAGTAAAAGAAACTTGTAAAAGAAAACATTATCAATCTAAACAGGTAAAATACTACAGTCCTCAAGAATATCACCTTTGCCTTCCACTGAACGTTATGCTGCTAAATGACATCTCAAGAGGGTTTGAAGGGCCTGTCAAGATTATCTGAAAATAAATGTTCCAATAAAGTCAACAATAAGTTTGACACAGTATACAGAAGTCAAGACAAAATGTATGATAAAAAATAATAGTTACAGCTTACAGATAAGGCAAGGGCCTGCATTAGAATAGAATAAAGAAGAAAAGTTTCATTGATTTACAACTTTAAGTCTAAATTCTTTTATCGGACAAAATGTAGACGATTCTTTATTATCCTCAAAACAGTATCCTTCTCTAATAACTAATACTATATAATGCTAGAACACGACAGCAACATTCAGCTACCCTGATGCACAAAAAGTAGGCCAGTCTCTTTTGCTAGAGGAGAGAAAGAGCTGTAGTCTACAACGAGTCAGTATGATAACGGCTGAAGTGTCAATGCAGTTGAATAAGAAAAAAATAAAAGAGAAGCACAATAACGCTAACAAAATATTTATCACAAACCAGGCAAAACGTGAAACTATAATAAGGACATAGACATAGAAATGTTCCATCCCAACGTATACTCTCTGCAGTAGGATTGGGGAGAAGGAAAACAAAAATCTTAGAGTTTTTGACAAAGCCTCAAATTAATCAATATCTACAGTCAAACGTACTCAAATTGCCATCTGTCCAAGACATTCACCGATAGAAATGACCACTTCCCACTACACCCCCCCCCCCCCAAATCCCTTGCGTTTTTTAAATATATTATAATGACACTGTTCAAGCCATCCCCCTGTCCAAGACAACCACTTTTCTCGTCAATAACGGGTGGCTATCTTGGACAATTTCAACTGTCCAACACAACCACTTTTCTTGTCAACAATCTATGGCTGTCTTGGACAATTTCGACTGCACATCACAGTATACAATGTCTACTATTACCCTTCTCCCCCTGCGTTGAGCTCCAGCACGCCCAGCATCTCCTGATTGGGAGGTCAAGGTCACTTGGCGCCGGGAGTCTTGTGTGACCCCTGCCTGGCTGCCATGTTTCATTGCTTCTTGCCATTGATGATTTTGCTGGAGACAACGCAGAACAATGCATTGAGTGACAACACAGAACATTAGAACATTGGATCAAGTGACAACACAGAACATTAGAACATTGCATTGAGTGACAACACAGAACATTAGAACATTGGATTCAGTGACAACACAGAACATTAGAACATTGGATTCAGTGACAACACAGAACATTTGGTTTAGTTTAGTAAGAGTTTTACAGCACTTGCAACACAATAAGGTCATATAAGTGCCGAAGATTAGAGGTGTTACAAGAGAGTAACAAACACAAAACAGAAGGAGGAGAGATCAAGATGAGAGATGTTTGATAAGAAAGAAGGAGCAAACCACACCAGACCACCCGCCAACCACCCACACACAGAACATTAAAACATTGCATACAACTCACAAAATGACATTGAGTAACAATATAGAAAATTGTATTCGAAATTGGGTAATATAAGTTTATAAGAGGATATCTACATTCTGTAAATAGAATAGATGTCATTTGAACTCAGAAATTGATTTCTACTCTTTTATAATATAATAAGTAATTGTATGAGTTTAAAACCCATCTCCTCCCCCCCTCAATCTTAAAACAAAACAATTATCAATTTCACTTATATAATGTATTTCCACCTTGATTTAGAAGTAATGAGAGGGAGGGGATTTTTGTAGTTCGTTCTAGAAGAAAGGAGCATATAGTTTCTGACTGCAGCATACTTACTGATGCAAAATGGAAAGGCAACTGTCCAAAGAAAACATTTTTCAAATTTGAACGTTAACATATTACACCCTAACTCGCCCGGGAATTCCCTTACGCGCTCCACCCTGACTCGCCCGGGACTGCCCGCGCCGACCTAGTGTCTTTACAAATGAAGTTCGTCTGGGGCCGAGATTTTGGATTTGCATAGTTATTGCAAAACGTTTCTTCTTTCGTTTGATACCGAAACGAAATTTTTCGGACTAGTAGTTTTAGTATTAGAGCTGATCGAAGTGCGTTCGCGTTACCGACACTTCAAAAGTGTCTCGACTTGTTGAAAAGCGACACAATTGAGATCGAAAATGGAAATAACGATGGATTTGAGCAAAAACAAGCATATATGACAAATCAGATGGCTCAGATTTTGATGAAAACGTTGTAGCAAGAGTTTGGGGTGATTCAGATCGATCAGACGTAGAAAATCTAGAATTTTGATCTAGGGCCCGGCCGCGAGGCTGAGTGTGAGAGTGACAGGTCGGACACCCCGATTGAATTAAAGCTAGAACATTTCAAACAGTTTGCGCATACACAAAGTTATATTTTTCTGAAGCTACATTCAGTTTTCTTTTTAACTTTTATTTTTTCAGGATTTTTGGAATTTGTTTAGTATTTTTTAATGTGTTTTTTAAAGGCTTGTATTCACGGGAGGTTGGTGCTTTCCCCTTGCTTAGGATCTAACAATGGACTTCCCGTCCAGGCCCTTAGGGTGTCATGTGTTAATGATTCAAAACCCTACTTGAAAACCAAACAGCATGAACGATTCAAAACCCTACTTGAAAACCAAACAGCATGAACGATTCAAAACCCTACTTGAAAACCAAACAGCAAGAACGATTCAAAACCCTACTTGAAAACCAAACAGCAAGAACGATTCAAAACCCTACTTAAAAACCAAACAGCAAGAACGATTCAAAACCCTACTTAAAAACCAAACAGCATGAACGATTCAAAACCCTACTTGAAAACCAAACAGCATAAAAAGGTGGAAAAAGTCCTTCAAAGCTATCTGACCGTTGTCTGTGGTGCAGCGCTTAAGCACTTTTCCATTGCATGCATAAGACCTGGATTTGATTCTTGTATGAGGAGAATTTTTACCAAGTATCTCCGTCTTTCTGCTGGGATGGTGTATCCCTCTCGGGCCGGGTTGGCCCTGACAGGTAGGGTTGAAGCCTGCCTCCTAAAATGGTTGAAAATGTGTCGATGAGGACGTAAAACACCTACATTACCACCAAAAAAAAAGAGCTACCTGCGACAAGAAGGACTCTTCAGCAACCTCTGCAAACTTCTCGCGAACAATCTCATTGTTGTAGCTGATTTCTGTCCCATTAGGTAGCGTCTCCACCAGTTCCACACGCACCACATCGTCCACCACAGAGTACACCTGTTAGTTTTAATAGAGGTTTTACAGCACTCACAACTGCATCATCATATGATGAGCACCAAGGGGGGGATGTCAACAGAGAAGTCTTTACAGGGAATCAGACTTACTCTGCTCACCTCTCTAGCTTCAACAGCACGGAGTCTGCTTCGACTATCAAGGCACCCCGGAAACAGCGGGTCACAAGAGTGTGACAAACATACAAAAGAAGTATAGGAAAAATGACGATAGTAAGGATTAGGAAAGAAAAACCAGCTGTTCCCTGTTGCAGTTCAGGCACAGTTATAAGCATGACATCGATGGATCAGCCCATTTATAATTCTACTGTGCATAAGAACAAGTTAATGTCCCCCCTTTGGGAATGGCCTAAAGACACTTCAGTGAGTAGCACCGCCCCGGGGGGTGCCACGTAGACATTAACACATGGAGAAAAGTCATCATGAACATCCGATAAAACAACACGGATCAGGCATACCTTACTCATGTGGAGATAAAGAAGTGAAATAACAAGACACAGCTTGCCAACCTGGGCGATATCATCCATTTTGTGGGCGCTTTGGTCATTTTGGTGGGGCGGGTGATGGTTGGGAGAGGGGGGGGGGGGGCGGAGGGAGGAGGGAGTCACCAAGGTAGTGACAGGAAAATTTTAGCCTCTTAAAGGTGGAAAAAATGGGTGCTGGCTGTAAAAAGGTTGACAAGTGCTGGTCTAAGGTCATAATTTTTAAAGTTTTAGTAAGAGTTTTACGGCACTTGCAACACAATAAGGTCACATAAGTGCAGAAGATTAGAGGTGTTACAAGAGAGTAACAAACATAAAAAAGGAGAGATAAAGACAATAGTTGTTTGATTGGAAAGAAGGAGCAAACCACACTAGAGCACCCGCCAACCACCCACGACATAATTTTAAATGAATGACAAAATGCATTCTATACATACTCTGTATTGTTATATAAGCCATTTTCAAAAGGTGACTCAGCGCTACGTTTTTTAACAAATTAGACAAATGCATCCATGCCACCTGCACATCATAACATGGCGAGCCTATTCTCCAAGCTGAGAAGCTAGTCTCGTTCTGATTATTTTCTTAACTTGAAACTTGAAATCAACACCTAGCACAGATGGCAATTCAGAAAAAATTGCAAAACATTTGATTGTTTTAAAAATCAAAGATGTCCCAAAATTTCTAAACTGACCTCATATAATATATTTGTCTTTGTTGCCTTGGTCAGCAGAGGAAATACAACACCTCTGGGGGGAGGGGGGGGGGATACTGAAGTTATCTTATCTTTGTTAAAATCCCATCACTAAGAAACTCTTTAAAAAATAATTTTTTAAAATATTTGTTTTAACAACAACAACAACAAAAAACAACCACTGAATGACTGCACAAATTCATTTCAGCAAGCTGACTGCTTCACGCCAACAAGAAGAACAGAAAGCAATACCTGAGCCAGGAGCTGTTTGTTTATGACATTTTGGAAGAAGTATCTGTTCGCCTTCTCACTCCACACTCCATCGGAGCAGGTCACAGATGAAGGACGCACTCCCTTCAGGTAGAACTCCCTTGCCTGGACAAAGGGGATATGAAAGTACATGGTGACCAGAAGGTTAATTGTAAGCCTTAAAGTAACGTTTGTCCCATTTACAGACAGGACGTTTCTCAAAATCAGAAGAGAGTCAAAGTTTGTGGGTGGTGGGTGTGAGCGTGCGTGCATGTGTGGTGAGGGAGTCAGAGAAAGAGAGAGTGAGAGAAAGCAGAGGGGAAGGGAGAAAAGAAGGGAGGAGGGGAAAAGAAGGAGGGAAAGGGAGAGAGTGAAAGAGAAAGAGAAAGAGAGAGAGAGAGAGAGAGAGAGAGAGAGAGAGAGAGAGAGAGAGAGAGAGAGAGAAAAGTGAGAGAGAAAGAGAGAAAGAGAGAGAGAGAAAGAAAGAGGATAAGAGGGAAAGAGAGAGCGAGAGAGAAAAAGAGGGAAAGAGAGAGAGAGAAAGAGAAAGATCAAGCTAGAAAGGTTTATAACTTCTCTTCCTCCTTGAACGTTAAGGGTTGTTGTTATCGATCCAGGAACGTTAAGGGTCCCCGTCAGTTCATGAGGCATAAACTATCATTGTTACTATCGTATTTGTGAATGAATCTTAAACTCAAATGAACGAACACATGATTTAAATAGCTTGTGCATATGCACGCGTGCACACACATAAACACACACACATATCAAACACACACATATGCACGCACACACACATACACACAAACACACATTTTGAACAACTAGCAAACATACCAAATATGGCAATTTGTGCAGCCTCTGTGGGAGTATGAACAGCCGATCGATGTGGACGGTGTCTCTGTTTCCATAATCCACATAGAACACCTGTACGAGGGGACAAAAGGTTGAGACAGTGATAAAATTTTATGTACCGCAGTCTTTATATTGATAGTCGTATGTATGTAAACCTCAGTTTGTATATTTGAGTAAAGAAAAGCACATCCACACAATAATGGTCATTTAGTGTTGGGGAAAAGTAAGACAGACAGACAGACAAAAACAACAGAGTGACAGTTCAGAAGTACTACCTACCAGCGGCGCCTCCAACCACCTGCTGACAAATATGCATCATCATGAAGGAAAGTGACAGTGGATTTAAGACAGTACCCATTCAAAGTTAACGTTCATACTAGCTCAACCCCTTGCCCAAAAAGAAAGAAGGTAAAAAAAGAGAGAAAGAAAAATAAGGCATGGGGGAAAATTTGCAATATCTTTGCGCAGGTTCTACAGATCTGATTGAATGTCTCCCTTAAAGAGGAAATCCTAACCATCTCCCATACTTGAACCAGCATGACATCATCATATTATGCATGTTGTTATCAAGACATGAAAAATGAAACTTTTTAATTATTCAAAATGACACACAAATTTCCAGTCTTTATGACAAAATCTAAATTTTCAGAAAACCAGCCACATCGCGGTGAGAAATCACTTATAATAATGATCAAGCTACAGGTACATAAACAAGAGCAGATCTATCTATACATAAAATGTACACAAAAGGTATCCCTAAAAAAGTTTCACCAACTTGGCTAATAATATAAATCACTAAAAACCTGTACAATTATCATTATTCCAGCTTCAATTGCCATAATGCCACAACATTTAGTAGTACCTTTCCTTCACGAAATAACACTTACCCGGATGTTGAGAATGGCCTTCAGAGCTCCGCCCCCAGCCACAGGCACTTTGTCAGCGACAACTTTTTCCACACAGGCTCGATAGTACCACTCACCGTCAATGTCGGAGAAAGGAGCAGCCACGAGAGTCCCCGGCACAACTCCCTGAGTGATGGGCTGATATAGGCACAGGAAAACAAGGCAACATTAATTTACATGATGTTGGTAGTCTAGTGGTTAGGATACTAGACTCTTAACGGCGAGGTTGTGGGTTCGGGGGTTCGAGCCTCGGGCTCAACGTTGTGTCCTCCGGAAAGGCACTACACAAATTTTTCTCACTTCACCTAGGTGGGAATGGGTACCCAGCCATACATAGTGAAAGATCTAGTTAGTATGTTAGTGTTTTAGCGCCTATTAAACAGTAGCTTGCACTGCATGCTTCCCATGAAGTTGACATTGTTTCAGAATGCTATAAGGTCTCTTGGGGTAATACAGTCGTTGCCAAAAGTTTAAGGCCACGCGATACTTTTTACATTTTAGCAATAAAATGAACACATTATTCAGTTATTTTTTTAAAAGGATGCTTTAACGGTTAAAATACATTTATGGTAAGCTGTTGTGGAACAGTTTTAATCAAAATTAGCACTTTGTGTGTCCACCTTTTGCACGGATGAGAAAGAAAGAAAGTAAAAAAAACAACAAGAGGTTGTCAACAATAGGCCAAACTTTACAACAGAAGCTGGTAAGGATATCTGACCAATCGTCTAAACCTTATATAAACCACTCTGAAGAAAAACTGACCTGCATGTATGCACCTGGGCCATTGAGGGCACACTTTATGTCCATCAAGAGGTTGTCACAAGCAGGTTCGTTGATTTGAGCCCAAAAATGGCCACACTCCACTACCTGCGTGACAATTGACAGCATACCGTTGGAGTATACTTGTTGTTTTTTTAAATCTAACAGTAAACTGCAGGTGAAACAAAACATAAACAAAGAATGGTAAAAGTCTGTTTTACTTTTACTAAGAGTTTTACATCAATACACCTGCACAACAAACAGGTCATACCTGTTCAAATGTACTAAGTCCAGAAAGCAAAACTGTTTCATTCTTTTAGCAATTCTACTTACATTATGTATTTTTTCTTGTTCTTTTCAACATTCAGAATTTGGCAAATATTTATCGAGCACATGCAACATAAACCACAGACTAAGAAACTGAAATAATATATATTTTCAAAATGTTGTCATAGTGGAATATAGCAACTGGCAGACGATATAGCCTGAGTGCCAATTACAGTGATAACTACTCACATACGACCTGACAAAAGGGGAATTCAAGTAATATAAAGATTTTATGCAGATCCGACTGGGGTTCTTTGACTGGCTAAACAAAATCGAAAAGCTTTAAACCTATTGGAGTAGTTGGCAGATAATGTCCCACCTGGGCAATACTGGGACAATAGCAACAGATTGACTACACAGAAAAAGGAAACCACAATGGGGCCCCCACCAAGCAATAGGAATACAATATTTGAAAGGGAAAGAATAGACAGCAAAAGTGAAAAAGAAAACACCTGATATCACCTACTAACCCTGAAGTAACAACCCTGTCTTACCTCTGTGACATTGATCCATAACGTGGAAGTTTGAGGATCGATGTTCAAAAAGTTGTCCCCACTGCTGCCCTCACCTGCTTTAAGTCTGCAAGACAAGAAAAAACGTTAATTAAATAAAGAACATTCTGGAATTACCAGCAAGAGGGCATTCATATAGCTTTACAGCAGATGAAACCATACAATGGTACACATGGGTTATTTCAGATGCCAAGAGAGAACTTCGTGTAAAGCTAACGTGTGGGGTTTTATGATCAGGTTTCACTTCTCTTCTTATTGGTGGTCTACAAACCAGAGCTTGGACAAATCCTGTCCAAAAGGTGATTTTGAATCATTTAACTTGCAGATTATTTCAGAACAGGGAAAAGTGAAAGAATACTACAAATGCCCCTGACAGGAGTAGAACTCACTGACCTTATAAAATCTAGTTTTCGTAGTTTGGAAAAAAAAATCCAAACAATTTGTGCTGCAGATCTTTCCTGAGAAAACTCTTGATTCCATACACTGCTGCAGCCATTCCTAGGGCTAAATATATGTCACTGGCAAAGTCCCAGGTTCTGGCAATTACTCTGGGAATATTTTCTCAAATAAAGTCGAAGGTGCTTTTTGGTTCATATATCCAAAACAATCATTTGTACACACAATCACTTTCCACTTCCTCCCTTGAGTTTTTTTTTACATTAAAATCACACTGCCCAAGACATCCACTTGTCTAAGACAACCAGTTTGCTCCTTGACAACGGGTGGTCATCTTGGACAGTTTCAACTGTACTGACCTGGCGGGTGGTTGGCGGGTGCTCTGGTGTGGTCTGCTTCTACTTTCCTATCAAACATCTATCGTCCGTATCTCCCCTTCTTCTTTTTTATGTTTGTGACTCTCTTGTAACACCTCTAATCTTCTGGCGCTCATATGACCTTATGCAGTTGCGAGCGCCGTAAAACCTCTACTAAAACAACAAAAAATGTACTGACCTGTTGCTGCGCAGCCCTCCAGTGGGACCCTGTGACACTTTCTGTACCTCAGTAAGCTTGCGCTTGGTCTCCTCCCTGTCTAGCATGTCAAAGGACACCTTGATGCCAATTTGTCTGCAGCAAGAACAATAATATAATCAGGACTGAGGGGCCGCCAGTAAAACACCCACTGCTAGCACAAGCTGCAGCAGCAGCAGCAACAGCAACAACAACAACAACAACAACAACAACAACAACAACAACAACAACAACAAAAATTTGATCCCCTTAGGTCAGAACAAAATATTAATTTTTTTTCAAGCTCACATACTGGCCACATCAGTATCATATAACTGGTCGCTTTTAAGCACAAGGGGGCTATCCCGAAAAATGCTGTTTTGAGAAAAACGAAGGTAAAGTTTTTGCCCCTTGTTCAGTTTCTTTAAAAGACAAGGAGAGTTTTCTCTATAACCAAACAAATATACACACCAATGAAACCAAACTTCTCATATAGTTAGGGCAATGCCCACTTTTGGTTTGGGTCAAGATTTCTGAAACCCCTGAAATCTGGGTTAGCCCGCTTGTCCTTGAAAGTGACCAATTTGACCTTTCTCATGAGGCCAACATTGGTAGGAGTGCCTTTTTTCCTCATTCCATGACAAACAGTACAAATAAAGAGTTCATATGAAATCAGGTCATTTAAAATGAAGAAACAAATATACTTGATACAAGAGTTGCTTAAGTCCACAAGTTTACAAATTACACCCAAAGCTTACGAAGAATCAACATGCAGTGTTCATTGTGTTTATTTTTGTGACATACTAAAGTAGGTATCTTCTACAAGCCTCCTACCCTTCTCCATCCGAGACCTAACATTGACAACACACTCTATGGAACATTACAGCCACTGCAGCAGACCTGCACTTATCACTACATGGCATTGGACAGAAGGGCGAGAGCCCAGCTGTTGCTGGATCGATAACAACAACAACAACAACTACAAGCCTGTCATGAAAACCAAACCAGTTAGAGGCTCAAATGATACTGAAAAATATGAAGAAAGGCGGGAGTGCCAGCTTAAAAACATTTTAAATGAGATTAGGATACACTTCCGAAAGTCGAGGGCTTAAAAAGTGTGGACACTCACGTCAACTTACATATCATTATCCACTGGGTTTTTTTGTTTTTTCAGACACGTGCTTTGACTACAAGAATTTTTTTTAAACTACAATATTTCAACATGAGAGATGCTCATTAGAGTATTTAATTGGGCAAAAAAAGAAATCAATGTTACCTGCATGTCATACTATCAAGAGCATGTCACTCACAGTAGTGGAGTTTTAAAATGTTTCGACTTTCCCGAACGAGTGTTGTATCTGATTATGTTCTCAAATTGAAAAACTAAAAACTAAAAACAAAACAAAAACAAACAAACCATCAAGTATAGATTGAATTCAGAAAAGCATAAACATTGAGAATTCGAAAATTTGAGTTTATGCAACGTTTTTCAAGCTGTTACAACATCAAATTTGGAAACACTACTCTTCCCTCAACACAAGAAAAGAAGGACATCTATACAAATTTGGCCAAAACAGAAGAGAATTTTACAAAGGCTTCTCATACCTGATCTTGATGGCATAATACACACCAGGGTGCACCCTCCTCTCATTCATGGACCCCTGCTTCCATGAGAACTCTATGTAAGCCCTGTGAATGCAGTGGTTAGGGGTTTTTTTATGTTGAAAAGAAACATGAAACGATGGGGAAAAAAAGAAAAAAGCAGCAATTATTGATGCATAATGCGCACAGTAATTTAGAGGCAATATCAACATTACACTAGACACAATATCATACTACAGACAATACAAGCACACTCTTGTTGCTGGTCCCCATAGTGCAGATTCTTTTTGTTCTTTTTTTTGGGGGGGGGGGGGGATACTGAAAACTGAACGACAGAAAATCTGACTGGAAATGTACATGAATTTAGAGATATATTGCAAAGGTAAAAGCAACAAAAACAAATTTCTTTTTCTTTCTATCATCCATCGTATGGATATGAGTAGGTTTGAACCAAAACTTCAAACCAACAAAAGGCCCTGCTGTGTGGCAAGCAATACTGTACCTTGACTCTTCTGTGGAGATTTTGGGCGGTGGATCATTGCAGCACACACTGAAGTAATCCTTCATTTGCTTGTGGTACAAGATGCCTTCATTCATGGGCAAACCTTTCACCTGACAATCAGAAGGCAGTGATTAACGATTGAAATTTTGTTATAGCTATCATGTTTATGTCCATCTCTTACTGTTAGACTTAAGTTCAGCTGATGTGACGCTCAATGCAACTCAACTTTGGACGTCACATAAGTTCTATATTTACCCGTCACTATTCATATCCCTGTACATATGTATTTACATATTATCTACACACTTGTGTTATTTTATGTCTACATTATGTACATGAGTGCCCTTATGCATAAATGCTGCACATTTTTTAAAGCCATTGTACACTAGAAATATCAAGTAGTATGTTTGCTAAAGCACACTGAGTGTTGTAAATGACGGAAATGCGCAATTTTGCCATGTATTATTATTGCTCTCATTATTATTTTGTCAGGAACAAGATTTGGATCATACATTAACCATATTGAAGTAATACAAGCTGACCAGAGCATATGTAAACCACCTGTAGTGTCAATGAACATAAAAGAACCAGTACAAAGACCAATTAGTATTCGTTTAAACAAATAGAGTATTTTCTAAAGTACCAGAGGTTTGAAACAGAAACTCACATAAACTGTCTTGAGGGGATCATGGTTTGACAGCGCCTTTACAGCCTCCATTTCGTTGGACTCTTCCTTCACAGCATAGTTTGGGTAGAAGGCTCCACACATCACCATCTAAAGGAAAAAAACACCCACTGAAAATTTACTCATGATGTGAGGTCGCATTGTATGAAATTTCACAATAGAGGTGCATACAAGAATGAACTAAAAGATGTTAATAACATGATACTAAATTAAAAAAAAAATCAAATTCAAAATACAGTTGAACATGCTCTAACAGCCACCTGTCCATGACAATCACCTGTACAAACGACACTTCCCGGGTCCCCCTTGCATTAAAAAATATATAATGATGACACTGTCCAAGATGTCCACCTGTCTAAGACAACCACTTTTCTCCTTGACAAAGGGTAGCCGTCTTGGACAATTTTGACTGGACTAAATAAAAAGACGAGCTTAACACTTTTCCTACCGTGAGCCGCAAATGAGCCGCTGGACCGAGAGCCACAAAATACAGTTCGAATGGCTCGCTATCTATTCCAATCCAGTTTGCCTAATGAAATGACACGAAATTCTCGGCCGATCCACGTTTTCGAAATAATAGAATAGACCTTCTGTTAGCGGATATGAAAAAAGACATAGCACTGAGAGACTATTTTTTGTCCTTTCAATGCTTTTTCGGTCTCCTTAAAAACATAAAAATGAAAAGAAAAGTGCTCCCCTGACTTCAGTATATGACTCATATTTTCACTTTTAAAATAGGTACACATACATAACTTTCAGCAATTCTTTGCATTACTTGAAGCAACCTACCAGTGAAGTTTGAATGATGCTGTTGTCATACTTTTTTAGATATGACCTTTCAAAGCTGGAAAATTGTTGATTTCATGACACTTTCGATATTGCATAACCACTTTTAGAAACACCAAAAGTAATATGATTGGAATAAATCTTCAATATTGTATCACCATCTGATAGATTATTTTTTTACCTTCAGTTTGATGGGCCATATAGTATGGTTTGTGTGTGTTTAGTTGGATGTTTTGACATTTTCCTTTGGAAGGGTAGGGGCGTAAAAATAGGTCAGGGAAAAGCCCTGGGCCAGTGGTGGATTTTGGCCTGGTAGGAAAAGAGTTAAAGCTTTTTAGTTACTCTGAAGCATGAGGTGCAAAAAAGGAAGAATATCACTTGCCTTGAGAATGAGTTGTTCTATTGGGTCTCTGCTGTCATTCTTGAAGCTTGGCCGCTTTTGTGGCTTGACAATGTTGAACTTTAACAGCCTCTGCTCAAGTTCATCCACCAGTTTGGCAACCTGCAGTGAAAAGGAAGGAGTCAGATCACTCAGATCCAGAACAGCCAGGTAAGAGAAAGTGAAGACAAAAAGGTACAAACTTCTGGAACCTCATTTATGAAAAAAATCATCTAATACCAGAAGCTCAAAATAACAGAAACAAGAGAACGCCATCTTTCGACCTCAAACTTTCTCATTACACGCTGCATCAAATCAAAAAAGAAAAAAGAAGAAAAACTCATTAATAGTCTCAGGTGCAATAATACCAAATCTATCAAAACATGATAAAACTCTGAGGAAAACCAACACAACGCGTGCCCAACGGAACAATAATATGGGCATGTCCACTCCTGCACCTACAACAGACTCACTAACCTCCCTCAAGCTTTTGGCCTGGATGTGGTGACTGGTGCACCATTCCCGCTCATTGGCTCCGGCTCTCTCGAACTCTTTGAGCTTGAGCCTGTTTTGCCAGGTCTGAAGAAAAAAAAAACCCCAGTCTGTCAGTTTAGTTTTTGTACAAGTTTTACAGCCATATTAAGGTCATATATGTGCTGAAGATTATATGTTTACTAGAGAGTAATATTAACATATAAAGAAGAAAGAGAAGAAACAAGGAAGGTAGGTATTTGATAGGAAAGAAGGAGCAAACTACACCAGAGCAACTGCCAACCACCCATGTCTATTAACTGTAATTCTCCAAACAAAACTATGTGTTCAATGAGTGAAAAATTGTACACTGTTATCATTTAATTACTGACCTAGAAGTCGGACAGCAAATTTTTGAAAGAGTCAATTTTACAGCAAAATATTCAAAAATTTAAGTTAAGATATGGGAGTAGCAATACAATAGATTGACAACAAAAAATAAACAGCTTAAAAAAACCTTAATATGATATCATTTGAATATTGGGGGCCAGATACTTCAAAGATAAAATAAAAGTTCAAATTATTTTCTTACAAAATCAACAAAAAAAATATTGACACAAATGATATAATCTCCTTCAGTCAAGCATGTTATGCACTGAGTTGTTCATTTAAGAAAGAAACCATAAATAAAATGATAATCATAGGGTGCAGCAATTCAAGTCAAGTCAGGAAAGGTGTCAGACTATAAAAAAGTGACCCTCAAACATTTTTGCACAAACAGGCATGAGTAAAAATATAACGCAGCTCCCATTCAGTCAATTCACAAAGGAACGATGGATAAAATAGTGTAGAAAAACAAAACAAGTATACCGTAAAAGCGTAGAGCACCGTGATACAGTCACTGAGGGAGTTGGATGACCAACCAACCTTGCCTCTGATCAGATAAAAAAGCAAAACAAAACAGTGGCAACTATTAGTACATTATTGAGAAAAATAGGGCCTTCAATTCATAAAAAAGTTTAAGAGCTAAATAATAAGGAAACCTTCATAATCATATTCACCTGAAAGCAAAGTTTAATGGTACAAGCATGATAAAAATTGATATCATATATATAATGAAGTCACTACATTTTACGCTGCTTAAAAAAACTTAAGAATTATGTTCAACAAAAGTAGAGCAAAGATGAAACTCAGTTAATCCAGTGTTCACTATCAATACGCCCAAATCATTTAGGCACATCTGACAATTAAACACTTGATGATCTCCTGGAATTTCTAAAAAGCAAAAGAAGTTTTTAGCACACAAATCAGTACATGAGACAGAAATTAACATACTTGTAGGCAGCAAGTCTTTTATCAAATGGCTGTGCGAAGATACTCTTCAAAGATAGAGCAGCACCTGCAAGCAAAAAGATCAAATCGAATGAAGAGACATTTCTTTACAATGCCAATCAAGCCAACTACATTTAACGCACTAATATAAATCTAAATAGAAGCAAGAAAAATATGATACAGTTGCAACCAATACTTGGAGAATTCAATTTCTCTCAGTTTACGACACTGCAAGAAAAGGGACATACAGAAATCACATAGAGGGGCAGTAATTCCAAAACAAGTATGAAAGTCAAGGATTTTCAGCCTTTAGGGGAAAAAAAGCCTTTGGCTAGAAAGAAACAATTAACAAAAGGAACCTACAGAAAGAGTACTTTAGATTTTATATTTTTATTTGGGAGAAATAGATTTGAGAACAAAGACAATCCCCAACAGACTGACCAATGATGAGGCATTCCTCCAGCACTCCAAAGACGTGACCCAGCACCAGCAGCTTCCCCACATAGATACTGACGGGAAGAGTTGCTAGCACACGCCCAATAAAGGTCAGATCACCGTCGTATGGGTTCGCTTGTTCCCCGACAGATGATGACAAGGCCCCAACCTAGAAAACGAAAAGAAAAAAACACACCGAATTCTGAATAAGCAAAAATAATAATAAGTAATATTATCTCAACTTAGGAGGTAAGGATTGCAAACTGTATGTTTTACACACCCTTTGACTCAATTCTGATTGTTTAGGAGGTGGGTCATTTCAATTATGCCAGCACCCAGCAGGCAGAAAGAAATGTTCAATGAAATATCCTTCCCCAGTCAGGAACAGAACTCACATTTTCCCTGTACAACAGCAAAGAGCCTTACCATAACACCACAGATATTGGTAAAATAAAACTTCTGGAACTTTCTAGAATATC